TTGTACTACGTAGTTCCCTGTTGCTATGTCTCTTGGTTTCTAAGACAATGTGCATCTTTTTCTTGTCCTCCTGGGTTTTGGGAGACTTCCAAGAGGTGAAAGGGCAGAAGGTATTCACCATCTTCAAAACAGTTCCTCAGTCCATGTTCTTACCAGTGAATATGCTAGACTTCAGCCTGGCTCCCCAGGAGAGGACGAAGCACCCACTGACAGGAATAAAAGGGCGAGGCTCAACGTCTCTGCTTTATAGAGAGGCCTCTCTCCCTCTAGGGGATCTTCCGACTGCGGCCACGGGACTGTCTAAACCACCCTCTCCCACATCACTCTTCCATGAAAGGCCCGTTAGGATGCTTTGCCACAGTCACAATTAGTTCTCAGCAAAGTAAAGCCCTTCTCACCTGGCCCAGTCAACCAGTCTCGCCTTCTGCCACACTGCTCGCAGTTCCCAATATGCCAGGCCCTTCCCCCGACCGCTCTGCAGCTCTGCGCATGTGTTCCAGCTAACCAGAAGCCCTTCTTTCTCTGCGTGGCTGGGGAACTCCTCTGCACTCTTCAAAACTCACCTTCTGTGGCAGCCTTCCCTGATTCTGCTCTTTCCCTCCTTCCTCTTGCCTGTCCCTGTCCTGGCCCCCACAGGTCAAACTAGTCACTCTCCACTCTGCGCTGTTACATACCTCTTTATTGTGTTTTCTACCAGAATGGAGGTGACACAGACAGACATTTTGGCCTGGGAAAGGACCACAGAGGTTACCTAGTTTTGGAAGGATGGCAGATAACACTAGGATATAAGCTGAGTTTATTCAGCTATTTCAGAGTTCTGGTCTACCTTATTTCCCCTTCCTGATATCATGCCTGCTATGTGTGGTCCCTAGAACTCTTTCTGGTTCCCTTTCCTCCTTCTGCCTAGGTCACACTCTTAGTAGGCAGGACAAAGCCTCATTTCGACCTCTTTCTATAGCTTCAGTCCCTAATTGGAGTAGAGAAACACTCAGCTTTAGAGGTATCTTGTTCCAATAAATAACTGGAACACTGAATGATGCTGTCTTTTTAGGCAATGACACAAACTAAATGGGAGCTGACAACTACACACGGCAGGAAATGAACCAAACTAGCCTTTCATTGTAAAGAGGTGCTCAGAATGCTAAGCCCCAAATATAACAATGGAAAACAGGTAAATAGATAAGACTCTTCAACAATAATACTGTAAAAAAATCACTTAAGTCAATAGCGTTGCTAACCAACCCCCTCTCAACATTAGATAAGAGTAATTGACTAATTTGAGTATCTTCTCTTATTTCTTCCTTTGTGTATGTGTGGCAGAATTTTCTTTGATTCATTCAATGACTATGTATAGAGCAACTACTATGAGCTATACATTCTTCAGCACTGAAAACAATGAGAATAATGGTTACCATTTGTTGATTATAGTGTCAGGTACTTTACTACATGCTTAACATACATCATTTTGCCTTCACAGCCCCTTGTGAGGTAGGTACTCTTGTTTCCCCTATTGGCTGATGGGAAACAGATTTAAAGGTTAACTATCCCGATCAAACAGTAGAATCAGGAGTCAGGCCTGCTGACTCCAGAGTTCTTGCTTTTAAGCACTACATTAAGTCCCTTGCTCCAAATCTGAACTCCTCCCCTAAGGATGGCTAGGAGCATACCTCCCTACTCCTCTGCTCTACCAAAGGAGCTACTGAATGTGGTTAAAAAGAGGGAGGAGAAGCATTACTCCAGAATACCCCAAATTCTCCTGAGGAGCCATGCCATGTCTGAGGAAGGATGTCATTGGGCTCATGTGCTCAGCTAAAGCAGAAGTTGCCTCCCTGATATCCGCTGCTAGAGATGGTGATTAGCCCTTCCAGGGACAGCCTTTTTAGGCAGCTCTAAAGGTGAGAAAGATCCTGATTACATTGATCTACAGCCTTCCACCATTAGTTCTACTTTTGTTTGGGGAGTTCATTTAATACAATCTTCCTTTACATCCATCTGGGCTTCCTATCATGACCTGTTTTCTTTTTAAATTGTAGTAAAATACACATAACAAAATTTACTACCTTAACCATTTTTAAGTATAGGGTTTGGTGGTATTAAATATATTCATAGTGTTGTGCAACCATCACTAGCATCCATCTCCATAACTCTTTTCATCTTGTAAAACTAAACTCTGTACCCATTAAACCATAGCTTCCCTTTACTTCCCTCCCCCAGCTCTTGGCAACCACCATTCTACTTTTCTGTCTCCATGATTTTGGCTACTCTAAGTACCGCATATAAATGGAATCATACCATGTTATTACTTCCCTCCCCCAGCTCTTGGCAACCACCATGATTTTGGCAACTCTAAGTACCGCATATAAATGGAATCATACCATGTTTGTCTTTTTGTGACTGGTTATTTCACTTAATATAATGTCCTCAAGGTTCACCCATATTGTAGCATATTTCAGAATTTCCTTCCTTTTTAAAGCTGAATAATATTCCATTGTATGTATGTATGTACAGTACCACATTTTGCTTATCCATTCATCTGTGGACCGACACTTGTGTTGCTTCTATGTTTTAGTTATTATGAATAAAACCGCTGTGAACATGGCGTACAATACCACTGCTTTTTAAAACCAATTTCATAAACATAGGTTCCCTCTTTTTCCTTCTGAGCAAATTTGTATGTCAAGAGATTTTCAGAATCTGTGTAGCTTCCTGTGCCTCCGCTTTTTGCTTATCCATCCATCCATCCATGGACACTTGGGTTGCTTCCATATTTTAGCTATTATGATAATGCTGTTATGAACATGGTGTACAAATAGCTCTTTGAGACCTTGCTTTAAGTTCTTCTGGATATGTACTCAGAAGTGGAATTGCTGGATCAGATGGTAATTTTATTTTTAATTTTTTGAGGAACTGCCATACTGTTCTTCACAGTAACTGTACCATTTTACATTCCCACCAGAAGTACACTGGGTTCCAATTTCTCCACATCCTTGCCAACACGTGTTGTTTTCTGTTTTTTGGTAGTAGCCATCGAATGGTAATTTTTTGAGGAACTGCCATATTGTTTTTCACAGTAACTGTACCATTTTACATTTCCACCAGAAGTACACAGGGTTCCAATTTCTCCACATCCTTGCCAACACGTGTTGTTTTCTGTTTTTTGGTAGTAGCCATCGAATGGGTGTGTAGTGGTATATTATTAGAGTGTGTGTGAGTCTGAAAGAGCTACACACAAACATTTCTTTTCCTCAAGTCCAAAGGCAGCTCCCGTTAGAACTAATAGAAATAACATGCTCTCCCTTAGGAGACTTCTATTTGACAAGGAGGTAACGTTAGGCAGAAAAGAAATGCCAAACAGAAGGGCCCCATATGGATTCCTGGGTTTTAATAGAGAGTCATGCAACCTTGAAGACCAGATGGAAAACTAATGTGAAAAAAATTCAATAATGACATCAACAGAAATTGTTGTAGAAAAGGTCCTAACCTAGCTTACCACTACTTATGACCCTCATGAATCCTTTGAATCTGCCCCCCAAGTCAGAATAATAAGTACAAAGCCCTAACATTTTGGGGGAACATATTACTTCCATTAACTTAATTATATATCTTTCCTTGGTGAGAACTTAGATGTTCATTCAGCAAAATTTGTTGCTGCCTAGGATGTGCCAGATACAGATCTTGGTGCTAGGGATCTGGCAGCCAACAAAGCCCCCAGTGCATGGAGATTTCATTTAATTGGGGGAGACAGACAACAGTCATGTACACCTGGACTATGTCAGAGGTGATAGTGCTGCGAAAAGCAGTAATCCACGAGATGAACGGTAAGAGGCAGGGTGATAACTTTGTTGTTAGTAGGAGGGGCCTCTGATGAGGTGGCATGTGGTTCAAAACTGAATGAGAAAACTGGGGCTAGAGCTTCTTATACTTAAACTTCTTATACGCGAACTTCTTATACACAGCGGCTGTTAAGTAAGTTGAACATAACCAATGTTTATAAATAGCAATTTATCAACTTGGTGATCCCTCTAATTTGTTTTCCTATGATGAGTGAAATGATTAAAGGAAGTAGAATCTGGTGAACTTACTGCATTGCCTAGTCTAGTGTTTCTCAACTGAGGATGATGTTGCCTGCCAGGGGACATCTGGCAGTGTTTCAGGACATTTTGATGATCACGATCTGGGGGAGGAATGGAAGGGTACTACTGGCATGTCCTGGGAAAAAGCCGAAGATATTACTAAGTATCCTACAGTGCATTCAATAAGTCCACACAGCAAAGGGTGAAGGGACTAAAATGTCATCAGTGCCACTGCTGAGAAGCCCTGATCTGGTCCCCAGGCAGGCTGGCGAGAGCTGAGGGACTGGGCAGGAGGTGCTCTCCCAAATATTCCATCAAGATATCTGGACATGTGTAAACGGGATAGATCCAGGGCCCTTGGAGTCACCCTGGGGCATCTGTTCCAAACCGTCAGACTTAGATAGTTTCAAAGCCACATGGGGACTTATTCATTAAAGTAACATTAACTAAGTTTCCTGACTGCCTTTGGTATAAGAGAAGGCCAGGAGACAAGATGTGGTCCCAGCCATCAAAACTTTTATTCCCCAGGGAGAATGGGAGACATGAAGACAAACACCTGCAATGTGACCAGGACCATAATGGGTAGATATCAAATGATGTACGGCAGAGAGTAATGACTCTTGTCATATAAGCAATCATTTGAGCTGAGCTTTGAACCTGAGTAGGCTTTAAATAGGCAGAGAGTGGAAAAGAGGGTAAGATGTGAAAACAGGAACAAAGGTAGGGAGTGATAATATTAAAAGCAACTGTAATCTAGCAAATCTCTTCTATGTGATAGGGTGGTGCCAAGCACTTTTTTGTGACAAACAATTAAAGACTAAAAATAAAAAATGATACATATAAACCAGCTAAAGCCTAGCATGACCCAAACTGACTTGAATTCCCATCTTATCCATTTCAAAAAGATAATAAAACATGGGGAGTTACCTGGGGTGAGTTGCATAAATACCGAAGCAGTTCACCGATATACTGAATGACAGTGACGTTGTATTTTCGGCAATCATCCCAAAACTGGCTGGCTGAAAATTTGTTCCGCAAAACTAGAGTGGCACCTACAGAGAAGGAATAGAAAGGGTTAGTAAAAAAAGAGCTACAAGTATTACACTCATAAATGTGCTGAGTACCAAGTACATTCAATGCATAAAAACCCAAATGAGACCTGGTTTTGTCCTGTAGGAGCCTCCAATCTAGTCAGAAGAAGACATAAAAAAGTCTTTCTAATAAAAGTCAGTGTGCAATAAATAAAAGGTTCAAGCAAGACCCTAAGGGAATGTGAGTGTGTGTGTGTGTGTGTGTGTGTGTGTGTACATTAATTCTGTTTGGGCAAGGGCCGAGAAAGGCAATTTTTGGAAGAGGTAGAATTTGAATTAGCTCTTGAGAAATGAATATGGAGAAAGATGAGAGAATTCCAGGCAGAGGAAAAAGCATGAACATAAAGACAGGATAATTCAGAAGGTGTTGGAGGATGGCCAACACTCAGTTGACTTGTAAGTGGGGTGGTAAAGCGTGGCTGGCTCATGAAAGATGAAGCTGGAGAAGCAGCTAGGGGCGCAGTCATGGAGAGCTTGGAAGTGCCAGGTGGAGGAACCAGACTTCATTGTGTGGGCACTGGAGAGCCAGGTTCTTGAGCAAGCAGGAGAATTCTTCTTTGTTGGGGGAGTAGAGAAAATTGTTCCCCAAGATGTCCACATCCCAATCCCTAGAACCTGTGAATATTCCACCTTACATGGCAAAAGGGTCTGTTTAGATGTAATTAAGTTAAGAATTTTGAGGTGGGAAGATTATGCTGGATTATCTGTGTGGGCCCGATATAATCACAAGGATCCTTATGAGAGGAAGGCAAGAAGGTCAAGGGCCAAAGGAGATGGGATGATGGAAACCAAGGCTGGAGTGATATGCTTTGAAGGTGAAAGAAGGGGCCATGAACCAAGGAAAGCAGGCAGCCTTTAGAAGCTAGAAAAGGCAAGGAACTAGATTCTGCCCTAGAGCTTTCAGAAGGAATGCAGCTCTGCTGATACCTTGATTTTAGGACTTCTGACATTCAAAACAGTAAGAGAACAAATCTGTGTTCTTTTAAACTACTAAGTTTGTGATTTGTTATAGTAGCAATAGGAGACTATCACAATGGGTAAAATAATGTATCTATTATATTTAACCTAATTAGAGGCATGAAATGTAGCAAAGTGAAATAAACTCACAAATATTTATGTTCTTAGTTTATTTTTACTCCTATATATACAAAAATCCAATGTTTTCAAAGAGGAGACATTTTAAAAAAGACTATTTATTCCTTCTTTTGCATGTATTTTTGCTGCTCAAGGGAATGTGTGAGTGATTGCATTGTCTTTTTGGGAGCCTCAGAGTTACCCTGTTCTCACAGGGCCCAGCAGTATGATCAGGGCCACTCATTTCCTGCTGATTTGGAGGCGGATATGGGGCTAAGTGTTTTACAGCAGCCCACTAAGTTGGTGAGGGAAAGAAGCAGAGTCTTGGGCAGTTGTATATGTATATGTGTATATTTAGGGTGTCCCACCCAAAATTTATACACATACTTTGAATAATTATAAAAGCAGTGTTTATTAAAATACATTTCATTTTCAAAACTGAGCTATGAGCCGTTAAGTGTGTATACATTTTTTTTGGGGGGGGGGAATACCCTGTATAAACATATATAATTATTCATAATAAAATAACATGTTGAGAAAAATTTAAGTTTTTTAGCTTAGAGCGTTAGAGATGGTTTCCTGGAACAGGAGGATACAAGACAGAGCCTTAATGTATGAAAGTTGGCATCAATCCTACTGAAAGAAGAGAGGGTGGCAACTCTGTTTTGAATGGTAAAGTCTGAGAAGGGAAGAGAAGAGATGACAAGCCAGGTATTCTGACCAGAGCTGAGGAGTTGTAGGAGTAGGGAAGAATAAAGTAGAATGGGAACAACTGAAGGAAAAGTTTAAATGAAATGCTAATGGAGACCAACATGTAGATTTCTAAAAATGGAAATGATGGCAGAGAATTATGAATGAAATATAAGAATCAAGTGTTTGCCTTGGCTGCTGTGGCTCAGTTGGTGAGGTGTCATCCCATTCATGGGAAAGGTTGCTGGTTCAATTCCTAGTCAAGGCATATTCTTGGGTTGTGGGCTCAATCCCTTGTAAGAGGTGTGCAGGAGGCAGCTGAATGATTACTCTTGCACTGATCTTTGATATTCCTCTCCCCCTCTTCCTTTCTCTCTCTTTCTCAAAAAAAAGAAAAAAAAGTAAAATAAAAAAAATCAAGTGTTTTGACCTGGATAAAGACATCAAATATTTTTTAAAAGTTTCTCCCTTGACATACTGAACAATTATAGCATTATACTATTAGATAAGCAGGCATGAAAAAATAGAAATTATTTAAATACCTGCTTGCCATGTGTGAGTCACACAGCTTTGTTATTAACACTTTCTACCACTCAGGAGAGTAGCCAAATTTTGAATTACTTTTTCTTATGAGTAGATGTGAATGTATACTGACCTCCATTGCCTTGTTGAGAGAAAAAGCTTACCAGCCACGATGCATCCATGTAAGCCAATCATAAGCGCAGCGCTGTGGTACAAGGGCAGAGTGGTATAGATGATATCATCTTTCGTAACCCTGCTTATAAGACTGAGGCCGGTTGCATACCATAAGCGATGGTGATTGATCATTGCAGCTTTTGGGAGACCTTTGTAAAGATACAAGAGCATGTCTGAGTGAGCCAAGACCAGCCATTCACAGACACATGGTCTGGGAGAGAGATCTGGCTTGCGATTCATCATCGGGCGATTAGAGAATTGCAGATGGAAGGGCCATAATCAGTTAGACCAGGAGTCGGCAAATTTTTCCATGAAGGACCAGATAGTAAATGTTTTAGGCTTTGCACAGTCTCTGTTGAAACTACTCAACTCTATTCCTATATTGTAGCTGACAGCAACCAAACAATAACGCAGCGATTTTCAAACTTTTTCATCTCATGGCACACATAAACTAATTACTAAAATTCTGCAGCACAAACAACAAACAAACAAATATATTTTTTGCCAACCTGACAAAAGAATTAGGTATAATTTTGATTCATTCACACTGGATGGCTGTTGTGTTGGCTGTTACCATTTTTTAATTTGACAATCTAAGGCAGTGGTTCTCAACCTTCCTAATGCCGCGACCCTTTAATACAGTTCCTCATGTTGTGGTGACCCCCAACCATAAAATTATTTTTGTTGCTACTTCATAACTGTAATTTTGCTACTGTTATGAATCATAATGTAAATATCTGGTATGTAGGATGTATTTTCATTGTTACAAATTGAACATAATGAAAGCATAGTGATTAATCACAAAAACAATATATAATTATACATGTGTTTTCCAATGGTCTTAGGTGACCCCTGTGAAAGGGTCGTTTGACCCTCAAAGGGGTCGCGACCCACAGGTTGAGAACCGCTGATCTAAGGGAAAAGACGTCAGTGCCCCTGACTAAACAGTCAGGTATTGCATGTTTTAAAAATTCTTGTGGCACACCAGTTGAAAATCGCTGACATAAAGGAATGAATGTGGCAGTGTTACAATAAAACTATTTACAAAAACAGGTGCGTGTGTGGGGGTGGAGGCTATATTTGGCACACAGGCCAGACTTTGCTGACCCCTGTGTGACATGGTTATTACAGCAGTAATTTTAAGAGAAAGGAAGAAATGACTATTCAATTTCTGCTCTATGTCTACCACCTTCCAGAGTATTTTCAAAATTTCATTTAATTCTCATAATTAATGAGATACGTAGAATTATGTTCTCTAATCCACAGATAAGAAGGATGAGATTCAGAGAGTAAATAGCCTATCTATCCCATCACCTTCCCTCATAACTACTTTTGTGATTTCTTAGGTACTCTTCTAGAGTTTCTGTATGTATATGCATAATGTACATACACATATATATGAAATTATGAACATTTGCTCATATGTTCTTGCCCTTTCTTCCATTTAAAAAATAAAAACACGCTTCAGCACTTTTCCTTACACTTAACAATGCATCTTGGAGATCTGTCCACCTTTGTACATAGAAATTTCCCTTATTTATTCGTTCATTTATTCTCTCTCAGTCACATCAAGTCCTTTGTATGTGTATATTTTATTTTATCCACACCCTTTTGCTATTTTAAATGATGCTGCAGTAAATAACCTGGTCCACATGGCAGTTCACACTATGAATGATGCCATGTCTGTAGGAAACATTTGCTGAAGTGAGATTGTGGGGTCATAAGACATGCCTTTGTAATTTTGATAGGTATCGCCACAGTGCCAGCTGTAAGGCCAGTCCCTATTTTTCCTCCTGTCAGCAATATATGAATGTACATGCTTCCTCATAGCCTTGCCAAGGTGTGCTCTCAAATGGGAGAATGTTTGCAAACCTGAAAGGTGAAAATTGATATCTCAGTGTAGTTTTAGTATACTAGACTAAATACATTTGTATATTCTTAACTATAATTTATGTAAGTTTTTTGTAAGACCTTATTGAAAGGATATGCTTATATTGTTTCCTATGGAAGGTCAACTTAATTGAGGAGGGTGTGAAGGCCTTACTAAGGGGCTGAGCTAGAGCTTAAGACCTGAGTGGGTCAATTGGCTTTGTGAAGAGAAATGCAGTTCTCTGTACACTCAGACCCTTCAGTACTTGATGGTACTTTTGCCAGGTATCGCCTAAAGAACAGCAAACTACCATCATTATAAACATAATTCAAAGTTCATTTTCTCTGGCATTGTGTTAGTATTTAATGCCCCATTTTAAGAAATACTAATATTAAGAAATAGAAGAAAACATCAATAAGCCCATTGTGTTCACCATGGAAAAAGAATCTTCTGAATAGTAAAAGCTCTGAATTATATCTAGACAGGCATAGCCTTTGCTGCTTTGAAGTACTTTCAGAAACTTTCCTAATTTAAGGTTTTTGTATTAATGAAGAATTAAGAGTGCTTGGTAACTATTACATAATTCTGTGCCAATGACTGCCTTTGGAGGAACAGGAAAAACATTTTGTTCTCCAGTTGCTTAAGGGAGTTCTTTGAATTAATGTTTATAAGAGCAAAATTTTATTTAGAGACAAGAAGAAAAGTAAAATAAACATCAACCCAACTATCTTTCATGTAAATATAAATTCTGAATTATGGGATTAGTTAAGGAGTGTGGATTCTCTTTATCTTCCTAGAATGGGTTTTATTTTTGACAGCCCAAACCTGCATGGTGAATCCATTCCATATTTATCTAGTATTAAGACTAGAACTCCCAGTCACTCACCAATGGCTCATTAATTTCCCAAAATGAAGTTTACAATTTAATTTTTCCACTCTCTTAAGAATTGAGGACAAAGTCTCATATGTTAAGGTAGAGTCTGTATGTAGTGGAAGCATTTGGTTAACTATTCAGCCTACCATTTGGTTGGCAATGTAGTATATAACGTTTGGGAATAACAATAGTATACATCTCAAGAATGGTGGGAGAACTGTATGAACAAATGCCATAAAGCTCCTAGGAGCACACCTAGTACATCTTACCCTTAATATTTATTGCCCATTCCATATAGCAGTGTTCCAACACTGCTAATTGGCAATGTTTTTTCTTAGTGGCTCATAAAAATAATGATGCAGCATCCAGTGTGATGAAATATAGTATTTTAGGCCCTGAGTTGACAGCCATCCTACACCCACAGCAGCAAACAGCTCCAGCCATCCTACACCCACAACAGCAAGCAGCTCTAACTCAGTGTTGCATGGGAAGATAGTAGTCAAAACATTTATATAAATACTAGAGGCCCGGTGCACAAATTCATGCACCAGTAGGGTCTCTCAGCTTGGCCTGCGGGATTGGGCTGAAACTGGCTCTCTGACATCCCCTGAGGGGTCCTGGATTGCAAGAGGGTGCAGGCCAGACTGAGGGACCCCACTGGTGCACAACTGGGGCCGGGGAAGGACATGGGAGGTTGGCCAGCTGGGGAGGGACCGTGGGAGGACTCCAGGGTGTGTCCGGCCCTTCTCCCTTAGTACCAATTGGCCGGACCCCAGCAGCAAGCTAACCTGCCGGTTGGAGCGTCTGCCCCCTGGTGGTCAGTGCAAGTCATAGTGAGCGGTTGAGCGGTTAGCATATCATTAGCATATTACGCTTTGATTGGTTGACCAGAAGACCGGACACTTAGCATATTAGGCTTTTATTTTATAGGATGACCCCATTATTGTCCTATAGTCTTCTCTGGTGATCTATTTATAATTGGTTACACATTACATATGGACTCTGATTATAATCAAAATACAACAATCATTTAAAAAATTCCCCAAACCTACTCAGTTCCAAATTGATCCATCATCACAACTATTTTGATAATTTTTGGTTAACCACTTTATTCTACATATCAAGGAGGGGGAAATATGCATAGCTTGGAGAAACTCAAATGGGATCATGTGCTATGAGATAATATCATTCTCACAGGCAAAGAGCTAAATCCCCCAGAGAAAGATAAATATCACATGATCTCACCATTTGTGGAATATAATGAACAACATAAACTGATGAACAAAAATAGAACCACAGTCATAGAAGCATTGAATAGACTGTGCAACCTAAAAGGGAAGGCAGGGGGAAGTGGGTAAGAGATCAACCAAAGGACTTGTATGCATGCATATGAGCATAACCAATGGACACAGACAGGGCAGGGGGAGTGTGCTGGAGGGTGGGGGTGGCCGGGGAGAGGTTAATGGGGGAAAAAGGAGACTTATGTAATACTTTAAACAATAAAGAATTTAAATTAAAAAAAAGAGCTAAATCCCCTTAAGTATTAGTTATTTGATAACTTTTGTCAAAGAGACCATTTGAAAACCTAACCCACCACTGAACTCCTTCTTCAGGGTAGGTCCATTTCTTTTAGAACCCTGTCTTTATTTTTACCTGTGGTTCCAGAAGTATAAATGTATAAGGCAGGCGTGGAGAACGTGACTTCAGACCTCCAGGAATCTGGGACAGGTTCGGTTGAGACTTCATCCACTTTGTCAAGGAAAGAGTCAACCCCTTCTGTGTTGGAAGTTCTGCTCACATAATAGATGGACACATCATCTTTCTTCAGGCTTGGCAGCACCTCTTCAACAGCTTCTTGTAGTTCTTAATTTAATAAGAAAAAAATCCAAACGAATTAAATTAGCCCATTAAAGTTCTATTAGTGCAACAGGTGAGAGGGTTCACTTGAAATGCAGGCAGTTAGGGCAGGGGTCCAATGGAAAACAAAGGCAGGTGGAACATAGGTGGGGGCAGACATGGCAGTTTGAGCCAGCCTAACCGCAGGAACCAAGCAAGCAGAAATAATAAAATGTTTCTGCACTCAAAGTGGGAGGCATGGGAAACCAAGGAAGGGCCTGTGGTAAACAAGATGTATGAACACATAGAAACAGAGAAAGTTCAGCAGGGAACAGAGGAAGAACACACAGAAACAGGGAAAGTTTAGGTCTGCTGCTGGGCAAGAACAATTGAGGGAATCAATCAGGTGACATCACAGATAGACACAGAAGCAGGCTTGTAGCAAATATATACCCCTGGACTACAAGGCTTTAAGGGGCAGCCCGTTATTGGGTTCCCCTCCCTTTTCGGGGAGTCTGAATCTGCTTATAATAAACTTTCCACACTTTTGCTTATATCTTCTGGTCCGAGTAGCTCATTCTTTGGAGTCTCGAGACACGATCCCAGGAAAATACTCGGCTCACCGTCTGGGTTGTCACAGGCTTCACGGACATCTTATTTTCAGCATATAATTTTTGTTAAAATGCGTAGACATGACAAGTAATGCTTAGAGTTATATATTTTTAAACATGGAGTTTGCCACATTTGAAAACATCACAAGGTTCTGATATTTGAGGGAAGGTTGGGTTTTAGTGGTTTTTCTTTTAAAAAATATATATTTTATTGATTTTTTACAGAGAGGAAGGGAGAGAGATAGAGAGTTAGAAACATCAATGAGAGAGAAACATCGATCAGCTGCCTCCTGCACACTCCCCACTGGGGATGTGCCCTCAACCAAGGTACATGCCCTTGACCGGAATCGAACCTGGGACCCTTGAGTCCGCAGGCCGACGCTCTATCCACTGAGCCAAACCGGTTAGAGCTTTAGTGGTTTTTCTTAAGCAGCAAATGGTTGGTTAAAATCTGTACAAACAAATGGACATACGGGTGAACATCAATATATATAAGTGCATATATTTGGGCCCCACAGGATCAGCGGTGAAAAGTATTTTTTTTTGAAGGAAAGAGAAATGAAAATAAGGGAGCCATGTGAAATAACAAAGATGATGGAAGTTGACAATTTTTTTTTTTTTTAACACATCAGTAACAGGAAGTTCTATTAGGAAGCTTCAGCTGATCTGAGAAATAAGCTCCAAATTTCACAAGCATATCCTATGGCCTGAGAAAAACAACGATTAGCATGTTTTCACCATGGTCACAATACAATAGTGGATTATTAAAAAAATTTAAAGTGATTAGTATTGCCTTAGCCGGTTTGGCTCAGGGGATAGAGCGTCAGCCTGCAGTTCGATTCTGGTCAGGAGCACATACCTTGGTGGCAGGCTCCTCCCAGGCCCGGACCCTGGTGGGGGCTGGTGCAGCAGGCAACCAATGAGTTTCTCTCTGTCTTTCCCTCTCTCTTCCACTTTCCCTAAAAATCAATGGAAAAAGATCCTCGAGTGAGGATTACAAGAAAAAAAAAAAAAAGGACCAGTATTTTTTAAAAATTAAAATAGAATGAAATAGAAATTTTCAGAGCACGACATGCACAGCAAAAGATAGGCATTGTTTTTAAAGCTTTTGCTTCAGTTATGTGGGTGTTTGGGTACTGGATCACACATAAATGTATTTTTTACTGTGGGTTATGGTAAAAATATTTTAGATACCAATTTGTACCGATTTAATATGCAAACCACATTTAATATCTGCCACTTGGATTTCTGTGCTCTTAAACCATAAGATGAGATGGCCTTTAAGCTCACTTAGCTTGAACCGTGACAACTGAAGTGAATATTAATGGGAAGGTGACTCAATATCCCAGGGAATTGCCTTGGGGAGCTCTGCCTAAGTCATCTTACATGGTTTGTTTTTCAGATGTTTGTGAATACTGTCTCCATCAAGACGAGAAATATCTGGATGGATGCATTGAAATTTTTAAGAAATGTTTTTATTGATTTGAGAGAGAGAGGAAAGGAGAAGGAGAGAGAGAGAGGAAGAGAGAGAGAGGGAGAGAGAGAGAAATAACTATGAGAAACATTGATCGGCTGCCTCCTGCATGCCCCCACACTGGGAATCCATCCTGCAACCTGGGCATGTGCGCAGACCCAGAATTGAACCAGCGACCTCTCAGCGCATGGGATGATGCTCAACCAACTGAGTCACACAGACCAGGGCAGATAATATAGTATAATATATATACCACGTGCGGGCGCACACGTATAGTGCGATTGAAACTTCGTGGCCCATGCGCAGAAGTCGGTATTTTGTGGAAGAGCCACACTCAAGGGGCCAAAGAGCTGCATGTGGCTCGCGAGCCGCGGTTTGCCGACCACTGCCCTAGAGCATTGAGGTTTTTTGTGGGGTTTTGACATGAGAATAAGATGGTAAAGGCCTCCAAGTCTCCTCACCTTTGCTGTGGTGGCGGCCAGAACCCTGGGAGTCCAGGGGCCCCCATGGGGGGTGTAGGAGGCAGCCAATCAATGATTCTCTCTCATCATTGAATATTTCTATCTCTCTTTCCCTCTCCCTTCCTCTCTGAAATCAATAAAATATATTTTTTTAAAAAAGAAAAAAAAGTATTCCCAGTTACGCTAGTAAAGTGCTAGTTTGTTTTTGAATAGAAATGTACTACCACCCCTTTTTAAACAGGCGAAGAAGAAAATTTGAGAGAACATGTTTAAGCTAGCGGTCCATTCAGACCTTGGGCTACCTGGCTGGGACCCCAGCCCTAGGATACACTACTCATTTGATGTCTGTGTTTCTGTCCCCCACCATCTATGCACAGACTCCCTACACTATGGTTCCAGCCCATCCTGTGCTCATCACTAGTTTCCTCTCTGTCAATGAGACCCGAGAAAGAGAGAGCACCTCTCTCCTACACCCACTGCCAGATGTAACTGGAACATAAACAAGTCTTTGGTAGGGTGAGTCTGGGCTTGGGGGGGATTGTGTCTAAATGGATTTTCTCAAATCAGGATACATGTGATTTGTTTTACATCATTTTTTATGCCCTCTTGCCCAACCCAATGGTTCTTTTTTTTTTTTTTAATATATTTTATTGATTTTTTACAGAGAGGAAGGGAGAAGGATAGAGAGTTAGAAACATCGATGAGAGAGGAACATCGATCAGCTGCCTCCTGCACACCCCCCACTGGGGATGTGCCCGCAACCAAGGTACATGCCCTTGACCGGAATCGAACCCGGGACCCTTCAGTCCACAGGCCGACGCTCTATCCACTGAGCCAAACAGGTCAGGGCTAACCCAATGGTTCTTAAGCTTCAGAGAAGAGAGTCTGTTACGTTCAACTAGAAAGGCACAACTCAATGCAACATTTACAGAGTGACTATTGCCCAGCAGTATGGCTCAGTGGTTGTATTATGTGCTAGATATATGAGAGAATTCTATGTCCCTTAAGATCAGGGGTCCTCAAACTACGGCCCGCGGGCCACATGCAAATACAAATATTGTATTTGTTCCCGTTTTGTTTTTTTACTTCAAAATAAGATATGTGTAGTGTGCATAGGAATTTGTTCATAGTTTTTTTTTAAACTATAGTCTGGCCCTCCAACGGTCTGAGGGACAGTGAACTGGCCCCCTGTTTAAAAAGTTTGAGGACCCCTGCTTAAGATAATCAAAGGGAATTAAAGTGACTCATCAAAGTTACTCCTTGGGCAACCCAGAGAGGTAACAGGAGTGGAGATAAGATTATATCTATGCCCTGATCCTTAGCTAACATTAGCACTGGAAAATGATCTCTTTCCATCAAAGTTAGGCCACTGCTGTTGGCCATTCCTTGAATTCTCTGAGTCCCTATGTTCTCAACAGTGGAATCTCATCAGTAAACAGCTTAAAAAATTGCTATTATTTAAGTCCAGCCTGCTCTTGTCCTTACATAGTAAAACTCTTTAGTGAAGCATCTCACCGTGTTACGGAACTGATGAAAACTGCCTCTTGGGCTCCTCTTGCCTGAAATGCCCCCTTCCCAATTGCACTTGCTCAGCTCAGTTGTCAAGGACCCCAAAAGCCTTCACCCTCTGCTCTTTACCCCCCTCCCTGAGCTCCTGCAGCCTACTTATCACATTCTCCTGGATGTCACAATCAGATGTGTATGCGGCTTAGTTCTTTTGCTGGATGGTAAGATCCTCAAACTAATTCATTTTCTTAACTTTTCATTCCACCCTGGCAACTAGCTTGTACTTTATGGGGACTCTCTAAATGCTTCTTGATTTGAAGTTAGATTGTTGTGCCATCTGCTTTTCTTAATCTAACCTCAAAAGTTTGTATGACAAGACTTCTCCTTGGTCCTGACACTAGTTTTATAATGAAGTTCTCCTGTTTTAGAACTTACAATGATGCAACACCTTTGAAAAAAAATTGGAAGCATTTTCTTTTATCACATTGCTTAAAGGTCCAATTTTGTTTTTCACAACCTTAAAAACCAGGTCAAAGGTAACCTGGAACATTTTATGATCTCGCTGGACCCAGGTCTTGCAACAGGAAGCATCTTTAACTGTTACTAAAGTCCTGTATATGAGTAGAGGCCACACTGTGGGAGCCTTGCATGGCTATATTGGGTCAGATGGTGGAGACCTTGCCAGTAAACTGATGGGAGACCTGGGTTACCCCTCTAGTAGGAGAGCTAGCTTAGTGACAATCTTAAGGATAGCCTAAGTGGAAACAAAGCAAATTTACTGTGGGGTGAAGCGGGGGGGGGGGACTCTTTTGAATGGTTTCACAAAATATCCTATGTCGTATGAAATTAATTATATAATTATATAATTACTAGAAGCCTGTTGTACAAAGATTCGCGCAATAGGCCTTCCTTCCCCTGGCTGCTGGCACCGGTTTTCCTCTGGCACCTGGGACCCAGGCCTTTGGTCTGGCCGCAGTGGAGAAGCCAAGCCTCTTCAGTCTTCAGTCTTCACTCCGGCCAGAGCCTTCAGTCTTCGCTCTGTGCCTACTTATGCAAATTAACCACCATCTTTGTTGGGTTAATTTGCATAGTCACTCTGATTGGCTGGTGGGCGTAGCAGAGTGACACCAATTTGCATGTTTCTCTTTTATTAGTGTAGGTAATTAATTAATTCCTGTGTTTCTCATATTCCATGTTTGGGAAATTGCTTGAAAAACTGCCAGACCAACAAGTTGGCTTCTATCAATAAAGCTAACACAGATTCAAATAAGTGAAGGCAATTGTTTTCCATGTAATTATTTACACCATACCCTGCCATGGAGAAGGATCCTGAAATGTACTACAGAGAGAAGATGATATTCTCTGGGAGACGGGGCTTCTGTTTGATTTGGGGAAGTGTTTGTGAATCTTTGACTTTTGGGAAATAGAGTAAATTCTGAAGAAATAACTGGGCACTGAAATTCCTCATTGTGCAGACTCAAACCCTACTGAATTGTCATCACTCCAACACGTAGTTCTAAAACCCCTCACCTTTATGTACCATGTTCAGATGGTGTAACAGGATAAGAAGTGCCCTGGAAGTGAGAAAGAAAATTGGGTTCTGTCCCCAGCTCTCTGTTGCTAACTAGCCATGTGACTCCAGGCTAGTGATATCACCTCTCTGGGAAATTGCTCAGCTATGTAACAAGTGAAAATTAGACTAATCGTTTCTCAAAGTCTAGTCCTCAGACTGTTTGCTTCAAAATCATCCGGGGAAGGGGTGGGGCTTATTATAAACATACACATCCCTGGGTCCCACCACAGTTCTTCCGGATCACTGCTTTTGGGGGATTGGAGTTCAGGAATCAACTTTTCAAAATAATCTAGCTTCCCAGGTGATTCTTATGCTTATTAAAATTTATTTTTTAAAGTTGTTTTTTTTTAAACTGAAGTATAACACATTCACCGAAGTTGGAGAATTATAGGATTAGAATATCTGTAAGATTCCTTCCAACTTGAAAGAATTCTAAGAATTTGTCAATTCGACACATTTACACATGGGCACATTTCCTCAGCATGCAACTTTGGACTCTGTGCTACCTCCTTTGCGGGAACTGATTCTGGTCAGAGTGTAATTCACAGGATGTGCCATAGTCCCTCAGTGATTTGGAAAAACTGAATGTTTTGCAAATGTGTGCCCTCTCTCAAAGGTCAGTTTACTGCTAGAGAAAGTCATGGGTCCACTGGAAAGCCTGGTTCAAGTGTGATCTAAATGTTAGAATTTCATTATACTCCCCATGTAAAATGACCCAAACAATAATGCTCAACGGCAGAGGACTGTCTGGGTGGACATGGAGATATCTGGTTGTATTTTTGACCTGAAATTCAGAACCAAACTTTATTATGGTCATTTAAACCCAAGTTCTTTGTCAACAAAACTCCCAGTCCTTGACCTTCCTCACTGGGGGCCTGGGATATAGTCATGTGCTGCATGATAACGGTTTGGTGAATGATGAACCATATATACAACAGTGGTATAATCGATAGCCAAGGTGTGTAGTAGGCTATACCATCTAGGTCTGTGCATTCTATGATGCTGGCACAGTGACAAATTGCCTTACAATGCATTTCTCAGAATGTATTCCCACCGTCACACAATGACGGACAGTCCTGTGCAGTTTAATAGTATTTCAATCCCTCCTGAAGTGGTACAAAGATCACTGTGCTAAGAACTTCCTTCTGAATTGACTGGTAAAGTAACAGATTTAAGAGAGTCTTTCGGTTAAAATTTGGCCCCTTGAGTGTGGCTCTTCCACAAAATACCACGTGCGGGCGCGCACGTACAGTGCAATTGAAACTTTGTGGCCCATGTGCAGAAGTTGGAATTTTGTTGAAGAGCCGGTGTTTTGTGGAAGAGCCACACTCAAGGGGCCAAAGAACCGCATGTGGCTCGCGAGCCACGGTTTGCCCAGCCGCAGTTTGCCAACCACTGGGTTAAATAGTGAAGTTGTCTCATTTCCCAGGCAACTAGAAACTATTGGGAGTTTTCTTGAAAGGACCATGCCCTCCAAATAACTCCGCTGTCTTTAAAACTGCTCCCCCTCCCCTGCTTTTAAACTTTTAGATAACACCTTCATTTTTGGGATCTATTATGCCACATGAAACATGTGAAAATTTCCAGGTTTCTCACAAGTGAACAGATATCTCATCTTCCTGAAAGGCAAACTGCTTAGCTTGCCTCCGTTTCCTTAGCTGTGAAATGAAGGGGGAGAGCAGATGGATGCTTGATCCCTTCCAGCTCTAGTGCTGTACAGCCATGTAGAGGAAGGAACACGACCCAAGCGAGGTCATGGGCTCTGAAGTTGGACAGACCTAGGTTGGAATTTTGTTGTTGTTGCTATTAATCCTCACCTGAGGATAATTTTTCCATTGATTTTTAGAGAGAGAGAAACATCAATGTGAGAGAGACACATCTATTGGGTTGCCTCCTCCACACACCTCCATGGGGGCAGGGATTGAGCCTGCAGCTGAGATAGATGCCCTTGACTGGAATGGAACGCGAGACCCTTCAGTCTGTGGGCTGACACTCTAACCACTGAACAACCCAGCTAGGGCCTAGGTTGGAATTTCAAGCCTCATTTCCCTCAATTCTGTAATAGGGGTAATGCTAGGTTATCTCTCAGGGTAATTAATCAAAGCATCCGGCATAGGGCCTTGTCAGAAAGGCATCCCAGAAAGGTGAGGCTCCCTGACTCCCTATTCCTCCAGGTCTTTCAGCCCGCACTTGGCTGGCCTCCTCTTACTAGCACAGCGAGAAGCAACTGCTGGTCCTTACTCATGTGCAGAGACAAGTTTTCTGGGAAGGGAAAACCAGCAGCCTGGGGGGTAACAGGTTCTTGGTTGCTTCCTGGCCTGGTCACCACTGCAGCATGCAGTTACCTGAAATATGGCAGGAATATGGCAGGAGGTAACCACAGAACCAAAGGTCACTACTGCTATCGATGCTAAAGGGGCTCACCAGGGCACTGCAGCAGATCCCCAGAGTCTTCTCCTCGGGGATCAGTGGGGTCCCCTTTCTGCAGTGAGAATCCAGGGAGGCTAATAGTACCTGGGAACTGGAAGCAGTCATTGCACAGGAAGAAACCAAGGGTCAGAGAGGGAAAGTGACTTTCCCACGATCACACAGCCAGTCAAGCAGCAGAAGCGAGAACAATTTTGGGGGGATCCACTGTTGTTCACAGTCACGATCCTCTACATTTGAACGCAGTCAGTCGTGTTTAAGAGCTTGGACTCTCACGGTGAACAGCCCTGCTGACCTGACCCCTTCCTCCCAGCTCTTTGACTTGGGGTATGAGGCTTCACCTCTCTGGCCCCAGTGGCCTCACCTATAAAGTCCCATAGTAAACCCTACCTGTTGTGAGGATGAAAAGCAACACCGGATAGTGCTTGACACAGTGCCTGGGACGGTCAGCTCCCACGGATGGTTCTAACGATCATGACTTAGCATTTCTAGGAAGGGTTGCCATCCCCTCCCTCTACACCTCCAGATCCGATCTGACCCCCCACACCCTCCCCTCTGAGGAGCCCAATGCCAGGGCCAAGCGCGCCCCGGGCTCACCTGGCGAGGCCAGTAGCACCTTCGCTCCGCAGCACTGGAAGCAGTGCAACAGGGACTTGGCGCGGATGTTGTAGTTGAGGCACGCCATGGCACAGCCCAGCTTGGCCAGCCCCAGCCACAGCCACACGAAGGCCGGCTCATTGCCCAAGAAAACCGCCACGCAGTCTCCCTGGCGCAGGCCGAGGTGGTCGCGCAGCGCCCGCGCCACTTGGTTGCTGCGCCGGTCCACCTGCGCGTAGGTGAGCGTCTCGTCGCGGTAGAGCAGGAAC